AAGATGTTCAAAGGGATGTCGCTGTGTAGCAGATTTTTTCCACTGTTGGTGGACTTGTGAACATGTAGAAGACTTCTGGTGAGGTATTCTCTTACACATCAAGAATATCACAGGGATGGATCTTCTATTTCTGCCAGAGGTTTTGCTATTAAATTATTGGAAAATACCATCTGGAAAATTAAACGCAACCAATTGACCTCAACTCTAATTTCGGCAGCTAGAACATTGTTAGCCTCAAAATGGAAAGATAAGAAGATACTGACGATAGATCAACGGCTCCAAAATTTGTGGGACTTTTATATTTTAGGTAAACTGAATAATAATATACAACTGAACAGATCAGATCAACAGAAACTAGCATACACTGAATTGTGATCTCCTGTTATTCATTATTTGATGGAAAATGACATTTTACCGAATGATGAAAATTGTGTGGACTTGATATGAATATAAGCAGATCCTCTTGTTTTGATGGTTGACCAGGGCTTATTCATCTTAACTTCACAGCTTTATATGCTTTATTTATAGTTTTAATATATGTGTTGTGTTTAATATATGTGATGTATTTTATAATTAAAAATGTATTAAAAAAAAATGCCTACAGATATTAAGAGAAAGTAAGATGGGATTTAACAAATTTCATTGCAAACTCTGCTGAGCAGAACAACCAATATTTTTTTTTACCAGACATTTCAAATCTTAACAATATTGGGTATTTAAACTACATGTCTGCTGCACCTTTTTAATATATATTTTATTAGATTTGTTTTACACGTGTAATCCAGGAATTCAATCTTAATTGGGCTGTGGTTTGAATTTGTCATTTTGGAGGCTCTGTATTGGGTAGAAAGGCAGAACAGATTTTTTTAAAAAAATAAATAATTGTAACTGTATTTTTATTCATACATAATGTTTATATATTTGTACATCCTTCCTATAGGATATGCAGATTTTGTCTGGGAGGGGGAGGAATCAGTTATATTACACGGGCAGCTAATTTATTTTCATGGAAGGTTAAGTGTAGGGCAGCATAGTTAAAGTTTCCTCTTCTAAAATGTCTGATAAAAATCTAATTAGATTTCTACACTTTTCTTACATTAGAAGTAGTTTTCAGACAAAACAAACTCTTGCGGCCTAGCCTGTTCCTTAAATGGAGCTACAATTAACTCTCTTTTCTCTAAAAAAAATTAAGAGGTGTCTCACTGTTCTTTGAACAACCACAGAATAGTCAAATAGTGTAAAATGTACATCAGTGGAAATGGTTAGCCAAAAATCACCCCAAACTGCACAAAAATTTCATATTTAATTTAACTGTTTTTAAAATAACAATTAGTTTAACTTAAAATTAAAATTGTAAGCAATGCTAGTGTGTTATCAGATTGGCTGGGGCACATATGTTTGGTGACAGAACAAAATACAGCTGTTATTGTAACTAAGAACCTGTAGAATTTATATAACAACACACAATCAAGCTCATCAAGTGGCCTGAGAAACATTATGGATCCAGGTTGGTATAATGGCTAAAGTGTCAGACTAGGACTTGGGAGGAACAGGTCCATAACCCTGATTTAGCCATCAAGTTCATTAGGTCACTCATTGGGGTGACACCAGTCACTCTGAGCCCAGCCTACATTTTAGGAGGGCAAAATGGAGAAGAACAGAACCATATTTCACTGCGCTCTTTGGACAAAGAGCAGGATAAAAATTCAGCAAGTATATATATGCCTTTCCCCAACAGCAAATGCAATTGATGTGGCATTTAAATATTAAACTAGATAAAGCAGTGTCAGTAGCAGTGTATTTATTGATTTGAAATATTTATTTATTTATTTATATTTTCAATTTATATCCCACCCTCCCCTCATGGGCAGGCTCAGGGCGGCATACAACAAGTTAAAATACAACAGAATAAGTACAATAAAGCATAGATGCATCAACAGAGCAATAATCTAAAATTCAGACAAACAATCAAATTTGTAAATAAAGTGCTGTTGCATGTAGATGGTGGTAGTCTCTCCAAGGCTATGGTAGATAGTAGATAGTACACTGTAGCCATAACGGTATCATTAGCTGTTCTTGTTGCTCTCAATATGAGGGCCTTAACTGTTCAGTTGTTAGCAGTTCCGATGTTATCCATGTGTTGGTGATAGTGGTGGCTCCTAATCGAAGGCCTGATGGAAGAGCTCCATTTTACAGGCCCTACGGACCAGGAAGAGTCAGACGGTTTTGCGACCTGACCTCAGTGCTCTCTGGGGAACATGTGGGGAAAGGCGGTCCCTCAGGTAGGCAGGCCCCCGACTATATAGGGCTTTAAAGGTCAAAACCAGCACCTTGAAGTGAATCCGGTTTGCTATTAGGAGCCAGTACAATGCCTTCAGCGCAGGCCGGATCTGCTCTCGTATAGAGAGGCCCATCAACAGCCTGGCTGCTGTGTTTTGCACCAGCTGCAGCTTCCGGATTTGGGACATGCGCAGCTCCATGTAGAGAGCATTGCAATAGTCTAGTCTCGAGGTGACCATCGCATGGATCACTGTTGCCAGGTCATTGCGTTTGAGGAAGGGAACCAACTGCCTGATCAGCCGGAGATGGTAGAAAGCTGCTTTGACAGTGGCTGCTACCTGGGCCTCCATTGTTAAGGTGGCATCTAGGAACACTCCCAAACTCCTGACCCTTGGCACTGGCACCAATGGTGCCCCGTCGAAGGTTGGTAGGGGGAGCCCTACCCCCAGTCCACTCTGACTCAGGCACAGGACCTCCGTCTTTGTCGGATTCAATTTCAATTGGCTCAGCCTAAGCCAGCCTGCCACATCCTGAAGTGCCTGGTCCAGATCTTCTGGGGTAGAGTCAGACAGACCGCCAAACAACAGATATAGCTGGGTGTCATCTGCGTATTGGTGACACCCTAGCCTATGCCTTTGGGCAATCTGGGCAAAGGGGTGCATGTAGATGTTAAATAATACCACCCCTTGAGGGACCACGCAAGTCAGCAGGTGCCTCTGGGCATCTGATCCCCTAGAGCCACCCTTTGTCCCCAGCCTTGGAGAAAGGAGACAAGCCATTGTAAGGCAAGCCCCTGAATCCTAGTCTTGGTGCGGCGGTGGATCAGTAACTGATGGTCAACTGTGTCGAACGCTGTTGACAGGTCAAAAAACAACAGTACCGCTGTCCCACCCCGATCCAGATGCCTCCGGAGGTAATCTCTTAGGGCGACCAGTGCCGTCATCATCCTATGGCCTGGGCGGAAGCCGAACTAGAAGGGGTCTAGCATGGAAGTGTCATCCATAAAGCTCTGCAACTGTATCGCCACCGCTCTCTCAATTAGTTTGCCCGAATAGGGCAAATTTGAAACCGGCCAGTAGTTCGCTAATTCGGCCAGATCCACTTCCTTGAGTGCCCCCGGGAACAGTCTCTCGGCGAGGGACTTGTTGATAATATCCCTGAGAGCACCTCGAAACCCCTCACAACCAGCTTTAATTAGCTATGAAGGGCACGGATCAAGGCTGCATGTGGTTGGGCATACCGTTGAGAGCAATCTGTCAACTTCCTCTAGACTAAGTGGACTTAAATAATCCAAAATCTGACTGGAAGACGTGCATGGGGCCTCGAGTTCACTACTGCAGAGTGCAGGGGGTTGGACTAGATGACCTGCAAGGTCCCTTCCAACATTCTATGATTCTATGAATGCCGAAAGCATCACACAGTCTATCAGGGGTTCAAAGCCTTCTTATGTTTTTTGACAAATTGAAAGTGAAAAAGACTGGACAGTCTTGCCACCTGATGGAAGACAAGTTGCGAAGGTCTGGCCATGCCCATTTTGTGATGTCTCCCTATTAATACATCATTTCCTGGTTTTCATTCAAAACTTTGTATCTCCTTAAGAAGAGCTACAATCTCTTGCCTAATCTAGACTTCATCATTACCACAGCTTTTTTAGTATTTTATGACAATATGTTTTACTAGTGAATTTGAAGCTTTTCACCTATGCCTCCATTTACCTAAAAAACCTGTTCAATTTTTTTTAAAACAAAAACTCATGGTTATGAAAACAGCTTCATAATCCCATTATAAACAGCATCAATTTTATGCCAGAGCATGAGAGCAGTGGCTCATATTAATATTTATTAAGGCACAAAAACAAACTAAAAACCGTGAGCCTGTAATTCCAAAAGGAAGACCCATATAGGCACAGGAAATGTGTATTTAGTACTGGACAGCAGGAGACAAAAGTGAAATGAAATATAGCAATAGAATAGGGCTGGAAACACCTACAGCGTAATTCACTTAATGCTTTTATAGGAGAGTGCAGCCATCAAACTATGACATGTGTACACTGTAAAATTCGTCTGTTTATTAAATAGAGCCCAACCTTCCTTTTTAAAAAAGTACGACGCTTAGAGTTGAAGCCTTTTTTAAAAAAGAGAGAAAAAAAGAAAAAAAGAAAGGCTTTAACTAATTTTAATAAAATCAGGAGACGGTGGGAGATGCAGCGGCATGGAGTTTGATGTCCACAGCAGGTTACCAAGAAGTAGTGCTGTAAATTCAGTGTGGGACTTCAACACTGTGCTAAGTGTGGCCCAAATCTCATGGGCTTCCCTTTGATGCAAGTATAGTATATTAACTGGAAAAAACATTCACTTTTATTTGTCTGTGCTGTCTGCAAGAGCAATATCGCCTCATTTAGGGTAGCCCAACACGAAAATGCAAAGAGAAACAATCTGTTACAAATTAGCACAGCTCCCCTTTCATTTTACTAGCTAGTAATTGGAAGGGGTTAAGAAAGTGTAATTTATCAGATTATATGTGTTTATCTTTTTGTGGGGACAGCATCCCTTTGGTGAATTTTCCTAGGTACCCTGAGGGAATAATCTTTCCTTGATGTCCATTTGATCTGAAAGAAAACAATGACGCCTGTGAAATATGGGAATATAATTTGTTGAGTTTGAAAAGGAACAGTTTCCCAGACATCTAAAATGGTATTAATGACTTTATTAGAACCTTACCTTTCTTTGGAAATGTTTTTGCTCTCCCGTTTCCAAATGGTCTTAAAGTCATTGCAGAACTCATACCACACCGTGAAAATGTAGTTTGGTGCGATCTCCTTCTCACCAGACTTCGGCTTTATCCCAAAATATGTCACCATTTCTTCAAAGCTACAGTGTAGGGGGAAAACACTGTCAACACATAAACCCACTGGGGAAGTTCAGTTTCCCTTAGGGCAGATTTCTGACCCGGTAGCCTAGGTTGGTAATTAACATAAATAAGCTTTAGCCTTGGAAATTATATGAGCAATACACAACAAATGTAACAAAACGTCCAATACTTACTTCTCCACAGGAAAATAAGGGGGATGTTTTGGTGGTTGGGGTAAGACAAAATATGAACACAGAAGTGTGGTAAGGGAAGATAATTAGTAGAATTTTACTTAATTATTCCTATTACTTTTAAATGTCTTAGATCAGGCCTGTAGCCAGGATTTTTTTTGTTCAGGGGGCATTTTTAAGGGGGCAGTTAAATTACAGTTAATTTAATTAATTTGAATGCCTGTCTTTAAAGAGGAAGGCTCTGAGTCTGTTTCCAGCCCTTCCTTTCAAGGGACAGAGCAGCGAGAACATCAGCTCCTAGGGGGAAAAAAACGTTCAGAGGACATTTAATTGCCTTCAGAAGGCATTTAAATGCCTTTTGAGTTCCCTTCCACAGGGCAAGAAAGCATGTTTCCCAAAGGCTCATGGGAAAGCTTTTGAAAGACTCGCCATGACCAAGGTGGTATACAGCAGGACAGGGCTAGCAGAAAGGGGGATTGTCCGAAATCTATTGAATGTGCCACTCTTGAGTGCCCTTTTAAGCTTTCTTGCCCTGTGGAAGGGAACTCAAAAGGCATTTAAATGCCTTCTGAGCTGTCTTTTCCCAGTTCCCATGATCCTCCCCTTCCAAATTCCACAGTGGGAGGGAGAGGAAAACCTGAGGGCAAGCTACAATGCTGTCACTCTGGCTGCTGCCAGCAGTGTGTGTGTGTGGGTCTCTCCTCAAAAATAAGGTTTCTAGCATGGCTATTTGTGGGGCGGGGCTTTTAATTAAGGTGGCAGGGCCCCGAAATGCCCCACTGTAGCTACAGGCCTTTGGGTAGTGAAGGGCGGGGTATAAATCCAATATCTTCTTCTTCTTCTCTTCTTCTTAGATCCAGATAATTTTGAATACAATAGAATTTTAGATCAGATCTTTACTAGCTGCCCCTTCCCACTGCTTCCCTTCTCCTGACAAGCTTTTTCCTAAGGCTGGGGACCTCATTTATGCTTCCAATCCAATCCAAATACCTTTATTGGCATAAAAAGAAAAAAGGTACAACATGGCCAATTTACAGAGAATTTCAATTATAAAAACCATCAAACATCACATAGAAAAGCTAGACTTTTGCTCCCTGATTGTTATGGCAGCCAGAAGGTACCTTGCAACTGAACTTGTAATGTGGGAACATCAATCAGATAGTAAAAGAGATACTAACTTCACCTCAGGTAGACCGTGAACGTTAGACACAATAGGTTTAATTATACAGTCCCACACTTCCCCATAAAAATCACAATGAAGTAGAACATGGGCTACCATTTCTGGGTGCCTTCGTTTACATGGACAAAGTCTTTCTTGATAAGGGGTGTTAGCAAACCTCCCAGACAAAACCACTGATGGTAAAACATTGAGTCTTGGTAAAACATTTGTAAATAACTGAATTTTGAAAAACAAATAATCTGCTTATATATATATAAAGAAAGAAAGAAACTTCTAAAAGTGGCAAAGTATTTCACAGATATAAGGTTCTTAGTGCTTGGGGGGGGGGGTAACAGTGGAGGGCTTCTAGTGTCCTGGACCCACTAGTGGACCTCCTGATAGCACCTGGTATTTTTGGCCACTGTGTGACGGGGTGTTGGATGGGATGGGCCATTGGCCTGATCCAACATTGGCTTCTCTTATGTTCTTAAGGTTCAAACTATTGGGTCCTCCTGGCTTCTGAAAACTCAGTGTTCTATAAACTAATTTAATTTGGATGTGACACAAGGAAAACAACTACAAAGAATCCTCTCAATGCTTTGTAAATCCAGAGTTGTGTAGTGGTTAAGAGCAGCAGACTCTAACCTGGAGAACCAGGTTTGATTCCCCACTGTTCCACATGAAGCCTGCTGGGTGACCTTGGGCCAGTTACAGTTCTCCCAGAGCTCTCTCAGCCCCACCTATCTCACAGGGTGTCTGGTGTGGGGAGAGAAAAGGAAGGTGATTGTAAGCCACTTTGAGACTCCTTAAGGGAGAGAAAAGTGGTGTATAAAAACCTACTCTTCTAAATCATAGGTTGTATTATTTAATGCAATGCAATGACAACATCTCCATGTTAATATCAAAATACAAATTTGAAGGTGCAATAGTCAGTAATGAATAGTTTCATCTCACAGTCTTAGCAAACCACTACAATAACATGTAGGTGTTGTTGGTAATGTAAGAATATGTGTCCTATATTCTAGGCTAAAGCATTCTTATGGTCTACCACCCATTATCTGAAAAACAGACTTCTGTGATTAAAGAGCATTAGCATATACAATTATATTATAGAATTATCATTTTCAAATCTGTATTTTCACGGACATTTCTAAAATTTAAACACACAAGCCCATGTGGCAGAACAGAATAAAAGCCAACATTTTATAGGAAACAGCACTTAAATGATATTTGCTGCGATCCACAGACTATGCAACTGGCGCAATAACCTAAGAATGTTTTAGGCTTTTAAGCAGATTAAAAAAAACATGTTCTACAGTATGACATGATGGTTCCTTGCTGAAAGGAAAAAAGTAAAACATACTGTTGGGAAAGTCCAAATAGTTTAATAGATCCCAATCCCAATTTTCATGTTTTTCCAGCTATTAAATCAGACAAAAGAAAGACAATGACTCATATCAGGTTTTTTCCTCTGGGTTCTGTACTAGACCTTGCACTGATCTAACGTCTGGGGCCAGATATCCTAACCTTGTGCAGTGGGCAGTAGGAACAGCAGTACTGCAAAGGGAATACTTCTTCACAACTTCTTTTTCAGTGATAGATCCAGGTGGGTGGCCATGTTGGTCTGAAGCAGTAGAACAAACTTTGAGTCCAGTGGCACCTTTAAGACCAACGAAGTTTTATTCAGGGTATAAGCTTTCATGTGCAAGCACACTTCTTCAGATACAGTGAAGCAGAATTTCCTCAACCATTACACATAGAAAGAGAGAGGGTAAGGGGGGTGGTTAGTTGCCAGGAAGAGCCAATTAGTAATGGTTAAGGAAATTCTGTTTCACTCTATCTGAAGAAGTGTGCTTGCACACAACAGCTTATATCTTGAATAATTCTTTTTCAATGAAGATAGATACAGATGGTCAGCTGTGTTGGTCTGAAGCAGTAGAACAAATTTAGAGTTCAGTGTATTTGAAAAATTGTGTGTGCACACAAAAGCTCATACCTTGAATAAAACTTTGTTGCCACTGGACTCTAAATTTGTTCTTCTTTTTCAGTGAGTGAGACATTTGCTCCACTGATTCCTTCAAGACTGCTAACTGTACCTTTTCCGGTCTCTCTAGTGCAGTGAAATAAGCAGAGTTATGATTTAGAAGCACTGCACCATTTACTTAGGTCCTGTCCATACGAGGCCTTTTGGGCCGGGAGCGGGACGGAACGGGGGCGGAGCAAACGGGCGCGATCCCACCGCAACATCTGGGAAGCGTACCGTCTCCGTCCCTGATCCGGCCCTTCCAGCGCTGCTCCGCACCAAAAAAGAACCACCTACCGAGGTGGTTCTTTTCGAAGGGCAGCAGCAACGCTGACCGTGGGATCACCGGCGCGTCCTTGCGCCGGCGCATCCCCGGCTCCTAGCCGAACTGTGCATGTGTGAGCATGCGCAGTTCGCCAGGCTCCCCTCCCCACCATCGCTTTCTCCCCGGCATCTGATCGTGCTGGGGAGCGACGGCGCTGCGGCTCGGGGGATCCGTGAGATCCCGCCGCGCTGTCTCAACTTTGCTGCGGCTCACATTAGCCACAGTTCGAACGTCCTTTTCCCTGCCGTGTGGCAGGGACCTTAATTAAGCATACATGGCAGGACAACAACTCTGCAAAGCATATGGGTATGGCACTGCCTCCTCCATTATAGAAAATGGGGGAGCCCCAATGTTCATAGTAGTTTTTCAGAACAAAAACCTTCACTTGAGCACTGATGAAGTACGTATACATCTTTGAAATATCTGGTGGCAATATAGTGAGAGAAATATCTACTATCTGGGAGCCAAAGAGCTTCACACTGTGTTCTGTGTGGGCACTGAGGCTTCTCTTAGTATCAAATACTTCTCAGAAGGCTAGTCCTGAAGACTGAGGGGCTCTTCCAAGTGGTCTTCAGTGCAGTATGCGAGAATGTGGCTGGAAAAGAAAAATTTAGCAACTGCCTTATATATATGTTGCATATAAAAGCCATTGAGGCTGCAGAGTTAACCAGGACTCACCCAAGGAATTTTTCTTTCTCTTTTCAAACTTTTTTTTTTAATTGTAACATTCAGCCTGATGAAGAGTTCTGGTGAATTCAAAAGCTCACAAACTGTTTTTGTGTCATTTGGGTAATCCTAATGAAAGGTATCATGTAGACCATGTTCTGGTTTTATGAATGTTACTTCGGCACCTTTATGGCTGCTAGCAACTCCTTTTGATCCCAGCTAGTGTTATTTGACTTGGAACAATTATTCTGAAACTTTCTGCTCCCCAGACATACTAGTATGACATTATGACAAAGGAACTTAGGACTTCAACAAGTATTTATACAGAAACAAAACTACAAAAAATAACACTGATATTCATGAGTTTAAAAAGCAGCTCAATGTGTGTAAAACTGTTCCTGGATGAAATCATAGCTTCAGAATGATAGTGGGCAATTTCTTGGCAGAATGTGCTCTCTTGTGGACCCCCCCAAAAAACAAACAAACAAACAAACAAACAAACCTGAACACTAAAAAGAAGATGTCTGGGGAAATGATTCTCACCTAATACATGGGTTTTCTTTGAGCACAGTCTTTCCCCCTGAATGTGAAGCATTTAGTTAAGCAACCCCTTGCCTGTTGTCTAAAGAACTAAAATAGATTTAAGTACTCAGCAACTATTTGAGCCTCTGTTTCATGCAGCTTGTCCCTCAGAGTCAAATATAGTTATGTCAAAATCTCAAAAGCATGAATATGTTTTTGAAATTCTATTACATGATTTTTGACAGTCCAACACAGAAGAAAAGACCTTTAAGCAAATATAATACATGATCTTAATGAAAGTAGAATACTTACCACTTTTGTGAATTCTCCAAATGACTCTCCTCGATCTTATGTTCTTCTGCAGCTACAAAAAGAACATTTAAAAACATGTTTAAAGCATATGATATTTATCATTAGCCAATGATAGTATCTGCCCCCAAAGAATTCATCTTTGAAGCAGGTTAGGACTTTCATCAATACAGAACAAAAACATTGACTGTACCATTTCATGCCTTGTAAATGAAAACTTAACTTCTTCTGCTCCTCTCTTCTCTCACAGTGAAGCACAAAAGCTTGTGGTCATTTTCCATTGTATTGTATTGTACTGTATTGTTTATTTTGTTTTTATTGTTTTAACTTTGGCATTTATGCCTTGTTGTAAGCCGCCCTGAGCCTTCGGGGACGGCGGGATATAAATCCAAAAATAAATAAATAAATAAAATAAATGTGCTAGTAAGGTTGCCAACTGCCTGGAGAAAAAGTGTCATGTCCCTTTAACAGAGGCTTACTAGGATGTTATTTTCCAGGTGATGTTACCTCAGTGCCATGAAAAAAACTGATTGCCCATTTCCATACATTAGGCTTCTTTTAAAGGGCTTATTTCCCAGAACTTTCTCTTCTTGGAGCAGAGATAATTCCCCCCCCCCCCGCTTTAAATTTAGATTATGGCTATATGTTCGGCGTTCTACTTTGTAGGGTTTGATAAGCAGTATTATTGGTTTCCATTACTTTCTTTGTGAGAAACCATCTTAATTGTTCAGTTTTTGTTATGTTTATTTTTATCTGATCTGGAAAACTTCTATACATTTTTTAAAATAAAGTATTTTGTTATTTTAGAAATCTGATTTACAAATTTGCATTTAGAGTAATATTTTAATAGCAGTACTGATAGGCTACATGTCATTTTCCCATTGGGGCAAACAGCAGCTCATCAGAGCTGTTCCTGGTTGAGAAAATAGCACAGAGAGGAGGCTTAAGCCTCATCTCTCTTTGCATCATTGTCTCAATCCAAATCAGCTGCTGTGCATTTGAGGTTTCCCCAGGAAAATTTAGTAATCTTCATTACGGGGACCCATGACAGACCCAGGGATGGACATGGTATAGTGTATTGTGTAGTTATGCCCTTTAGCCTATTTCAATATGAAAAATGTGAAGTATTAAAAAATTAAATGCAAATTTGTAATCAGATTTCTGAAATAATAAAAATATAGGCCTTTGAAAATGTATTTTTATTAGAATTTTTTTAAGGTTTTACACATCTACAGGATTAAGTGTATCTAAAACAATAAAAGCCTAGATAAAAACAGGTTTTAGAAACCCAGATTAAGACTTCATTAACTTCTGGACAATAGCATTTTATCCTTAAGTTGTGGAAAGTGGACCTTTAAAAAAATCTGTTTGCCTTTAGAATCCAACATGGGTTAAAGAGCTAGGGTTGCCAAATTGTTTTTGGCCGGGAGCGGGGGGCTCCCGGCTGGCGTCCGGGGTGTGCGCTCAGCACTGCATATGCGTCACCTGGATGTGACGTCGCACGCTGGGGGCGGGGCCACTCTATGTTTTCCCCTCAAATGGCTGTGGCCCGCCCCCAGTGTGCGACGTCACATCCGGGTGACGCGCACGCGGGGGTGGGGTTTCCCCCGGGCCCGATTTTTGTCGCGTCAAAAATCGGGCCGTCAAAGCGGGGGATTCCCCACCCCCCGGCCCCATTTGGCAACCCTAGAGCCCATATGAAAGAGATCTGGGCTTTATAGTCCGAATGTACACTGTGCAATAGTGCAGCAGCTGCAGTCTCTGCAGGGGAAAGAACTGGTGCTCTCCCTTCAGATTCAGTTTCCACTTTCCATCACCTAAAAATGTCAAAGTAAAAAGTATACACTGAGGCTCAAAACTCAGCTGGATGTACATTACAGATTGGGAAATCCTAGAGATTTGGGGGTGGTTCTTGGGAAAGGCAGAGTTTGGAGGGGAAGGGAAGTCAGCAGGGATATAATGTCACTCTAGGACTTCTGTTTCTGCCATTTTCTCCAGAGTAAATGATCTGTGTACTCTGGAGATCTGCTGTAATTCTGGCAGAACTCCACCTTGAGGTTGGTAACCCCAAAGCACTTGCAGGATGGTACTAATTACCAGAAGGGTGCTGTCTGTCTATAGAAACTTTAAAAGGAAAACAGCATTCATTTGGTGATGTGAAAGCAATTAATTTACAGTGCAGGTATGCAAAACTTTTGATTTGGCTCTTCCCTGATCAAAAACAGCATACCAAGAAGGCAAAAATTGGTATGTTTAGTATTTTTCTTCACAGACTGGTGCATATAAAAATGTTTGTCCCACACTTGTTGCTCTATGACATACAAACAGGCAGGAATTGTCAGGAACGGCCATATGCACACCTGACCCCTCTTCCAAATAAGAATCTGAATGCTTTCTTCATTATACATATTCTTCCTCCCCCTCCTCTTCTTTTTAAAAAAGAAAAAGTGAGCAACCCTGTATTTCCCAGCAAGTGCTTCTCTTCTAATGATAGGAAGGACAAATATGGAGATACCAACACAGATCTTTCCCAGGGCCAGAGATATCAATGAAAGATTCAACAGTTCCTGACAAGGAACATAACCCATCTCTCCAGACAGTCTGGCATCAGACCAGGAGAGAAGGTTTTGCTCTCTTATCCATTCTAGCCAAAAACCACTCTCTGGGAAATCTCTTCTGGAATTGTATTACCTTGGTGTGTGGGGTGTGTGTGTGTGTGTGTGTGGAGAACAGCATGTTATAATTGAATTACAGATAGCATTTCTTTTACACTGAATATATTCTTCACATTATTTAATTAGAGAAAAATTAGGACCTACACATATCTAGAGGGATCATTTCACATGGGACATAATCACACAGATACTGCAGCACATTCAAATATAATTGACATATTTTAAATTCATACCAATTTTAAAAGACACATTGAAACCCTGATTCTGAGTGGAGGAATTATATTCCTATTTAAAGCAGTGGACCACATCCAGAAACCTAGCCTGAAAATGACTGAGTGCAAATTCCAGAAGGGCAATCATATTTGTTACCTGTCACATAAACAAACCAGAGACCACTGACACCTAAAAACTACCAAACTAAGCGCACTTTCACACCCCACTGAAACAAATGCCTACACATCAATGAATGACTATTAAACATTATGTCTAAAGGGAATCTTTACATTCAGAGGCAGTAAACTGCTTAATACCAGTGCTAGGAGGCAGCCTGGCCCCCATGCCTGGCTGGCTACTGTGTAAAATAGGATGCTGAACTAGAGGGACTACTAGTTTGATCCAGCAGGCTCACCTATGGACATTGTTGCACTCATTTCAAGGTAACTGCTAAAATCAGAGAAGGCAGTCGAGAAAACATTTTGTGGATTCTTTCATCGGAGAAGGCAGTCGAGAAAACATTTTGTGGATTCTTTCATCTTTGGTATTTATTCAATCAGCCTGACCCAAGAACTCATTCACATAAGAAAATATGATAGCTTATGTGTTTCTGGGGGTGTAAGGGAACCCTATTCATTTCACTCCAAAGGAGATAAACAATTCCATATACATTCCAATAATCATATGCACTAGGAAGCGCAAAACAATCTTGTATACTTCCCCCATGTCTGTGTCAGAAGAACTCTTGTGTATGAGGATAGAGCGTTATCACTTTTCAATGTAAAAACTGATTGTTTAAAATCAAATAAAATGCAAAATAGTCTGAGAATGACCTTATATTTACCACCATATATACTGAATATATTATTAATATCAGTTTGGTATTAGGGCAGAAAAACATCCAGAGGGATCATTCCACATAGGGAAAAACATCTCCCCGAATGTTTCATCTGGTCATATGGCATCCCACCAAGGAAAAGGATTATGCAAGTTAACTGACTCATCTACAACATTTACATTCAGTCCACAACTCATGTCATTTTCTTGAAATATCTCTGCCATGACCTTTAGGAAAGCAACATACAAACTGAATGGGAGTATTTTGGTAAGAGTGGATTTAGTCTCAAATAATTTATTTAGATCCATGGAATAAAAGATATTCAAAAATCCAGATCAGTTGAAAGGATCCCAACAGAACAGAGTTGGGAGTATCCCTACAGGATACTGTGATAGGCAAACAGTGCAGCTAAGTAACCCAATAGTATTTGAAACGTTGCATTATTTTGGGCACTAATTTTACGCTACATAGTCCAATGAGCAGGGCATGTTCTACATCTTAAATAAGTTCTCTTTTATGCCCTTGAAGAACACGCAGTGACCTTTATATTTCCTATGAATTTGGTATACTTTCTCAGATCTTCCTCCTCCTCAGCTGCTTTGGGATTTGCTATCTCCTCTGGCTTCGTCTCTCCTGCATTCTGTAATGTGATCATGACCTTTTGACAGATTTTTCTCTCTCATTATTTCTCAATATTCTATTTTTAATATTTAAAAAGAGCTCTTTCAACCCCACTTACCTCACAGGATATCTATTGTGGGGAGGGGAAGGGAAAGGAGATTGTAGGCTGCTCTGAGACTCTTTTGGGTAGTGAAAGAAGAAAAGAGAGTGGATTTATACCCCACCCTTCATTACCCAAAGGACTCTCAGAGAAGCTTACAATCTCCTTTCCCTTCCCACAACAGACACCCTGTGAGGTAGGTGGGGTTGAGAAAGCTCTCTGGAGAACTGCCCTTGAGAGAACAGCTCTGAAAGAAATTATGACTGACTCAAGGTCACACCAGTAGCTGCAGGTGGAAGACTGAGGAATCAAACCCGGTTCTCCCAGATTCTCTCTCTCTTAACCACTACACCAAACAGAAGAAGAAAGGGCAAACCCTGAATGTGAAGGAGGAAAGAGGCTGAGATCGCCATAGTACCTAAAGCAGCTTACATTGTTCTCCTTCATTTTATACTCTCACAATAACAACCCTGCAAGGTTAGAGTGTGATTGGCCCAGGATCACTTAGCAATCTTCTACAGAAAGAATCGGGATCAGAGGTCATTTCGGGGGGGATCGCGGGGGAACGCAGTTCCCCCAGGTGAGGTGCAGGGGGTGGGGCACATGAC